TTTGTGATTATTTGCATTATTTTTCATCATTGTTTGATTCTGTTTTACTGCACAAAGAGGGAAAGAATTGGGACTTGTGAATTGTAATTGTATTCCGCTGAATTGATCCGGGTAAATTGGTGTCCGGTTGTTCCGAATTTTCCCAACAAAGTGGTATCAGAGCCTGGTTGTGTAGATTGAATTTCTTGTGCAGTTAAAATGGAAAAGGAAGATTCGGGCATGATAAAGCTTACTTCCTCAAATTATTTTTTATGGAAAACAATGATGAAGGATCACTTATATTGCAATGATTTGGCTTTACCGATTGAATGTAAAGGAATAAAGCCTGATGATATGGATGATGCAAAATGGAATGGACTAAATAGAAAGGCTACTGCTAATGTTAGAAAATGGGTATCTTCTAAGTCCATTAATCATATTTCTCAAGAACATGACTGCTATACAGTTTGGAAGATGTTGGAAGAAACATTTGCTAAGGAGAGTGCACAAAACAAGGTTTTTGTAATTAGAGACCTTGTGAATTTGAAGTATAGAGATGGTGAAGATGCTTCAGTGCATATAAATGTATTCCAAGGGTTCTTGAATCAGTTGTCATTGATGAATCTGGAGTTAGCTGATGAAATGCAAGCACTAATCCTACTGAGTTCATTGCCGGATAGTTGGGAGACTTTGGTGGTGTCACTTAGCAATTCTACTCCGAATGGGAAGATCACTTTGAAAACAGTGAAGGATTGTATCCTCAATGAAGAGAAGAGGAGGAAAGGCACAAGCACTTCTGAGTCTCATACACTTGTTACAGAAAGTCGAGGGAGAAGTCCAAGTAGGTTCTCTCACAGCAAGCAAGATAGAGAATCCAGCAATAGAAAAGGCAAATGGAAGCCAAGAGGAAGATCTCAGTCAAGGAAGGGTTTTAAGTGCTATTATTGTGACAAGCCTGGGCATATGCAAAAGGATTGCAGAAAGTATAAAAGAGATAAAAAGGGTAAAGATGAAGACAAGAATGAAGAGAATGGTACAGCTGCAGTTGTATATGATGGTGATGTTGCCATTGTTTGTGATGATGGTTGTGTTAATCTTGCATGTCAGGATACCACCTGGGTTGCAGATTCAGCAGCTTCTTACCATGTTACACCCCGACGTGATTTTTACACATCCTACACTGCTGGTGACTTTGGTCAAGTTAGGATGGGAAATCAAGGGATGGCTAGTGTTGTGGGCATTGGAGACATTTGGTTGGAAACCAATACTGGGTGCAAGTTGCTACTCAAAGATGTTAGGCATGTGCCTGATATGCGCCTACACTTAATCTCTACAGGTACTCTTGATGAAGAAGGCTATCACAATTACTTTGGAGATGGTAAATGGAAGCTCTCCAGAAATTCCCTGATTGTTGCTAAAGGGAAGAAAATGGGTCTCTACATGTCACAAGCCAAGGTGATCAAAGGGGAGGTGAATGCAATTGAAGATTGCTCTACTGATCTGTGGCATAAGCGGCTTGGACATTTAAGTGAGAAAGGCCTTGGCATCCTTGCCAAGAAGAACTACCTTCCATTAAAAGGTATGAACTTGAACACATGTACTCATTGTTTAGTTGGCAAACAACACAGAGTTGCATTTCAAAGATCACCTTCACATAGAAGATCACATGTTCTTGATTTAGTTCATACTGATGTTTGCTCTATGATTGACAAGTCTCTTGGGGGTGCATTATACTTTGTTAGTTTTATTGATGATCACTCCAGGAAAATTTGGGCCACTTGTTTGAAATCCAAAGATCAGGTGCTTGATGTCTTTAAGGATTTCCATGCCAGAGTTGAAAGAGAAACTGGTAGAAAGCTCAAATGTGTTCGAGCTGACAATGGTGGTGAATACAGGGGTCCTTTTGAGAAGTACTGCAGGGAACATGGTATCAAGTTGGAGAAGACAGTTCCTAAGACTCCACAGCAGAATGGAGTGGCTGAGAGAATGAACAGAACCATTGTTGAAAGAATTAGATGTATGCTCTCTCATGCAAAGCTGCCTAAGTCTTTTTGGGGTGAGGCAATGAAGACTGCAGTTGCAATGATCAACCTTTCTCCATCAGTTCCTCTTGAATTTGATGTTCCAGATAGAGTTTGGAAAGGAAAAGATGTCTCTTATGCACACTTAAGAGTGTTTGGATGCAGGGCATTTGTACATGTTCCTAGAGATGAAAGGTCTAAGCTTGACAGCAAGACAAAGCAGTGCATTTTCTTAGGCTTTGAAGATGATGAGTTTGGCTATCGGTTATGGGATCCAAAGGAGAAGAAAATTGTGAGAAGTAGAGATGTTATCTTCTTTGAAGATCAAACCATTGAAGACTTTGAACAAAAGGAGAAAACAGAGTTTACTGTTTTTATTCCAACTAATTCAAATCTAAGACCTACTCCACAGTTACCTTTAATGCCTGCTAATCATGGGGGAGACTTGCAAAATGATGATGGTGGTGGTTCTCTTATTGAGCCATTAGTTGGTGATCCTGAAGCAACTAATGATGATGTTGATGTTATTCCTGAACAGGTTATGCAGGAAGCTTCAGATGAGCCACAATTGAGAAGGTCAGCTAGACCTCGCCAACCTTCCACCAGATATTCTCCTCATGAGTATGTGTTGGTCACTGATGGGGGAGAGCCAGAATGCTTTGATGAAGCTATGTCACATGAGAAGAAAAGTGAGTGGTTGAAAGCAATGCAAGAAGAGATGAAATCCTTGCATGAAAACCATACCTTTGAGTTAGTGAAGCTTCCTAAAGGTAAGAGAGCACTCAAGAACAAATGGGTGTTCAGGTTGAAAATTGATGAACATTGCTCACAGCCAAGGTACAAGGCAAGATTGGTTGTGAAAGGCTTTGGACAGAAGAAAGGTATTGATTTTGAAGAAATCTTTTCACCAGTGGTCAAGATGTCTTCAATCCGAGTTGTGCTTGGCTTAGCTGCTAGTTTGAATCTTGAAGTAGAACAACTTGATGTGAAAACTGCCTTTCTCCATGGTGATTTGGATGAGGAGATCTACATGGAGCAGCCTGAAGGTTTTGAAGCAAAAGGTAAAGAGCAGCTAGTTTGTAAGTTGAAAAAGAGCTTATATGGGTTAAAGCAAGCTCCAAGACAATGGTATAAGAAGTTTGATTCTTTTATGGTGGATCATGGTTATGACAGGACCACTTCTGATCATTGTGTATTTATGAAAAGGTTTCCAGATGGAAACTTTATTATTCTCTTGTTGTATGTGGATGATATGTTGATTGTTGGCCATGATGCTAAGAAGATTCAGATGTTGAAGGAAGAGTTGAGCAAGTCTTTTGCAATGAAAGACTTGGGACCAGCAAAACAGATTCTTGGTATGAAGATCACACGTGACAGGAAGAAGGGAAAACTTTGGCTATCTCAGGAGAGATATGTTCAAAAGGTACTTGAGAGATTCAACATGAGCAACTCCAAACCTGTTTGTTCTCCACTTGCAAGCCACTTTAAACTAAGTTCTAAGCAGTGTCCTTCAAGTGATGAAGAAAAAGATGAGATGAAAAAGGTTCCTTATGCATCCGCAGTTGGTAGCTTGATGTATGCCATGGTTTGCACAAGGCCGGATATAGCTCATGCAGTTGGTGTGGTTAGTCGATTCCTCTCAAATCCTGGTAAAGAACACTGGTCAGCAGTGAAATGGATACTCAGGTATCTCAAAGGTACTTCTAGTTTCAGTTTATGTTTTGGTAATGATAAACCTGTGTTGGATGGATACACAGATGCAGATATGGCTGGTGATGTTGATTCTAGAAAGTCCACATCAGGATACTTGATGAAATTTGCAGGGGGAGCAGTCTCATGGCAATCAAGGTTGCAAAAATGTGTTGCATTATCCACTACAGAGGCCGAATATATTGCTCTTACTGAAGGGGGCAAAGAGTTGTTATGGATGAAGAAGTTCTTGCATGAACTTGGCCTAGTTCAAGAGAACTTTGTATTGCACTGTGATAGTCAAAGTGCAATCCATCTCAGTAAGCATCCTACTTTTCACTCTCGATCAAAGCACATTGAGGTTAGATATCAATGGATTCGAGATGCTATGGAGATGAAGTCATTCGTTGTTGAGAAGATCCATACTGATGACAACGTGTCTGACATGATGACCAAACCTCTACCGAGAGAGAAGTTTGAGTTTTGCAGAAAGGAAGCAGGCTTGTTAGAGCCTCCTAAATTAAATTTTACATATTAATCGCCGGTATGGCGAATTCCTCACATGGTGTGTGAGGGGGAGATTTGTTGTGTATGGTCCCACACCATGTGATAGTGGGACCACCACATTTAATGAGAAGAGAGGCAGCTGACCACTTTAAAATTAAGTGGTTCGGGTACTGTAGCACAAGATTTGAAAAGAAAAGAGAGGAGAAGAAAATCAAGAGAGAAAAAGAGAAGAAAAGGCAGCAGAGCAGCCTTCATTCTTTCTTCGATTTCTAGCTCGTTCACCGTTGGATCGGGCTGAGATTTTGACAGCAGCTTCTAGACACGTTGATCTTCATTCTGAACGGTTGGATCGAAGATTGGTGGTGTGGAAGCTGACCGTTTTGACAGAAAACGGGGCTGTCAGTTTTGTGAGTTTTTCTCAAATAATTCTCCTTTAATCTTGTTGTAATCCAAGAATAAGTTGTTCTTGATGATATATATGTTGTATCCCTTAGTTGAATCTGAGGAAGAATGATTGTGAACCCATTATTTGTTGATAGTGGAAGTTTTTAGGTGGACTACGGTCCCGTGGTTTTTCCCGCATCGGGTTTTCCACGTTAAAAATCTTGGTGTGGATTTTGTGATTTTTGCATTATTTTTCATCATTGTTTGATTCCGTTTTACTGCACAAAGAGGGAAAGAATTGGGACTTGTGAATTGTAATTGTATTCCGCTGAATTGATCCGGGTAAATTGGTGTCCGGTTGTTCCGAGTTTTCCCAACATTGATCAATAGCATTCATGCTGCATCTGAAAATTAAGACAGAAAATTCCATTTCCTTTCCTGAACGCCTTTGTATCGACTTCTTTGTTTATGAAAGATTTAGAAGAGAAAGACAGACCATGAGGTAACAAGAAACAAACCTTTCAATTGCATTAGTAAAATGTTGTATTTCTTCGAAAGATGCATATGCATCATATGTATCATCTACCAGTGATACAATTTTTAAATATTTCGTGACCATCATCCGAGAGAAAGCATATTGAGGCTCGAAATGGACTCCATTTGCCCAGACATAGATCTCTACAGTTCTATCTCTTGCATATGGAAACTCCTCAGCAAAATTTAAATCATTCCACCACCTAAAATGTAAATAGCAACGGAGTAAAGAAATTTCACTAGAAACATAGTCTGATATCTCTCTCTAACTTAAACAAAAAGTTACCTCGAGAGAATGGATAGCTCTTGTCGATGTATTAACTGAACTCGATTGAAATCTATCTTGGCAAACTTGAGTAGAGTGTCATTCCGAGACTCATCTTCTTCGTAGAAAGAGATGTATTTTCTAGCCTCTATTCTTGGTACGCCTTTGTGAAAGGGCCGGCTCAAAGCATTCCTAATATGGTCTGCTAGACGTGGGCTTGATTGCATAGCCAAAGACTCCAGGTTTGCCTTTGTGAAAACTAGGGCATCATCCAGTATCTGTTCACCATGCACACTTAGAAACGAAGCTTCATACAAACTCAGGATGCCTTTAACATCGTCGATGATTGTTTTCTTAAACTCTCCATTGGTGTCCTTGAACTTGTTGAACACAACTGATTAATAAAAGCATACTACACATTTTAGCCATTTTCAAAAGATGTTTGTGAATTATGAGCGATTATTTCTTGTAAGTGAAAGAAAGATTTACCAGAGTTTAAATTACTGCTAATTATGTATTCTCCAAAGTCAATTACAAGTTGTAAGAACAAATATACTGCATTCTTTTTTCGAGTCACATTACAGAAACAAAAATTGTCATTTCGGTGTACTTATAGGAAGAAGTAGTTTCAGGTATTAGTCTAAAGATTAAAACTTAGAAAATTACAGAGGATAAACTTCTTTGATACAAACCAGCCTCTGTACTTCATTAAAAATTTCGAAGGCTATAAGGATGCACTCACCACAAAGCATTTTGAATCCATGCTGTCTCAATACTCGAAATAGAAGTGACACAGTGTAGAGATCAAAGTCATGCTTATCGAGAAGATTAGGAAGGTCATCAAAAATTTCTTTGAGGCTGTTTTCAATCTCGTCGTCAAAATGATATGACACACCAAGCCGACATAACAGATTAATGAATTCAATATGTTCCAGCGGATCCCTTTTGGATGCCATCATTATGTCCTTCACATTTTCCTTCAAGTCTTCTACTTGTCGGCTGTATGATTCGAATTCCTGCCGTGAAATATTCAGTTAATATAAATTGATAGCATTGAGTAATCCTTAACATGTTTTTTTCTACTCTATTGATAATGTTTTTATTTATAGTGTTTTACTCAATAAAAAATGAAGTCTCTGTTTAAAGTAAAAGTAATCAGCAGCCAGACAAAAGTATATAATTAAAATAAAGAGAGAGAAGTGATATATAATTAAAATAAAATAGAAAAACAATTGTGAAACATCAGATTATAATCTTAGTGCAGAATTGGATGATAGATCCCACTAATCTAAAAGCTTATATACAGTTTCTGAAACTTTTTTTGTTATTTGCTATACACACAGAAGAGAAGTAGTATACCGTTTGTGGGAAGGAAAATGAAGCGAAGCTACAACCCCACAAGCTTGG